AGATAACATACGGCCAAATCTGTAAGCAAGAAAATTGGTGCAATGTTATGCAAATTACCATATAGTAAACTCAACACTGACAAATAACTAAGAAGTTTCCAATACATAGGAAACTTGTGCAAGATGATGTACACACCTTTACTTTCTCACAGAAATCTGGATCAGAAAACCATGTCTCGTCAACAACAACATCTGGGATCAATGGTTTCCCGCTAAGCAAAACAGCAGCCATGGAAGATGTTAAAACAACCTTCTTTAGTGAAGGAGCCTTTGTGCATGACCTCAGGACATTTAGTGTTCCCTTCACTGCAGGCTCAATCAATTCTGCCTGAAATACGGCGAGAAAAGTGATAAAAATCGAAGCTTGCGTATAAGTTTCCATGAAAGTAAACATTTATTTTCAATGGTACATGTTATCCAATTATGAATTGAATCAGAGACTAACCTGTGGGTCAGTGGGTGAGAGATTAACAGGGGAAGCTGTATGGAAAACACATTCACAGCCATCAACAACAGAATCAAAGGATCCTTCTTCCAATAAATTTGCTTTATACAAATGAAGCCTTTCCTTTGCTCCCTCAAGTGACACCAAGTGCTCTGTTTTCTTCGGATCGTCTGTGTCATACATAATCATAACAACCACACATATATACATGATAACCCATGTAGGATAAAAAAAAAAAAAAAACTCTTTATCGCCCGTAATACGTCCCACACGTACTTTGTTACTTTGAAAATGTCAGAGGCCACCAACAAAACAGAAACTACCTAACTCAGTTCTATAGATAAAACAATCCTAGTCCAAGTCAGGGCTTCTACCCTAGTAAATCCACTATTCAGAATAGTTACACCTCAGAGAAAGAAAATCTCTCAGCTCACAAGTATAAGATTTTCTCAGGAACCAAACACAGGTTCTCAATCACACAGAAAACCTTTCTCAGCCTTTTTCTTCTCTCTCTGGCGTAACCTTTTTCTATTCTCTCAATATACCAGAATTTGAAAGTGAAGATTATACGTAGAAAAGCTAAAGAAGAAAGA